TTGGTTCAGGTTTTGAAGTCTTTGAGGGTTCAATACAACATTTAGCAATGTTTGTGTTGATTAAACCCTAACAAATACGAAAATTATAAAAAAAGTTAGTATATAAACACACAAAATGAATATTTTAGTTTAATAATGTCTACTTTATAATTATAATCTCAAAAAATTAAGAATATAAAAGTGTTTTATAACACAATGTACAAAACTGCTTGGTGATTAGGTGAGGCGAGCCTCCAAGTGCACCTTGTTGCCTAGGCATCGCCTTGACAACTTGATCCATAAAAAGGTTGGTGCCATTCATCTAAAGGAGTTTAGGCCGATTAGCTTGGTTACCAGTCTCTCTAAGATTATTGCTAAGGTGCTTTCATTGAGACTTAGGAAGGTGTTACCATCCAGTTCTAGGGAGCTTTTCTACATGGTAGGAAAATCACATATCAAATTCTCATTGCAAATGAGTGTGTGAAAGACTTAAAGAGATTTGGGGGAAAAGGAGTGATCTACAACTTAGATATTAAGAAAGCCCATGACTGATTGGGTTTTTTTTATTAGAAGTTCTTAAGTGCTATAGGTTCGGGGAAAGGTGGTGCAAATGGATTAGAGGTTGTGTCTAGACTTGCCACTACTTGATTTTGGTCAATGGGTTGGTGGTAGACTTTTTTCCTGCTTGTAGAGGGCTTAGGCAAGGAGATCCTCTCTCACTGTTACTTTTCACCCTTATTGCTGATGTCCTTAGTAGATTGATCTTGTGGGTAGACAGATTACAATTATTTAAGGGTTGGAGAGTGGGGAGAGAAAGGGTGGTGGTCAAACATGCTATTTGCAGATGATATTATTGTATTCTGTGATGCAGAAGATGATCGATCAATCAAAAACCTAAGGCTTGCAGTACTTTTGTTTGGGTAGATCTCAAATATGAAGATAAAATTCGATAATAGCTGTATTACTGGGATACATTTGGATGAGAGGGTTTTAGAGGACTTTGTAGGGATTTTAGGTTGCTTGGTTTCACCCTTACCAGTGAAATACCAAGGCTTATCGCTTAGAGCTAAACCTAGGGAGTAATCTTTTTGGAGCCCAGTGGTAAAGAGGTTCTCAAAGAGACTGGCTGTGTGGAAAAGAGGGTACATTTCTTTGGGTGGGGGGGGGGGGATAACTTTGATTAAGTCCACTTTGGGGGTGGAAAAGAGGGTACATTTCTGTGGAAAAGAGGGTACATTCCAATGGAGGCTACCAATGGAGAAAGATAGGTTGTGGCACAAAGTGGTGTTTAGTATACATGGCTAGTTGGAATATGGTTGGGATGCCGGAGCCGCTGCAAGATCAACAACGAGATCTCCTTGGAAGGTTATCAATGAAGTTCTTCCTTAGTTTCTTCCTATTATCAGGTATGGCGTTTGTTTGGGTAATTCAGTGAAAATTTGGGAACACACATGGGTGGTCTCAACCCCTTTGAAATATCAATTTCCTTATTTATTTGCTTTATCTTCCTTAAAAGGGAAACTTGTGTCAAAATTTGTTGTTCCTTCAAGTTTGAGCAGTAGCTCTCATTGGGATATGGGTTTCAGAGGAAGCTCAAGTGATTCTGAGATCCTGTTGGTGTTTGTTGAAGGATTTTTTTTTTTAATCCAAATAATATTTAAACAATTTATAACTCAAGTAAGTGGGTTGGCTAGTGTTCTAGCTAAATCTTTAAAACTAAAAAAGGTGGCTCATATGGGAGTTCCCTCTTTTTAAGTGGGAGGGACAGGTGTCCTTCACCTAGGGGGAGGTATTTCCTATATATGTCTTCTGCTATGTATTCTTCTTCCTCTCTCTTTTATTTTTGCTTTTAAGTATGAAAATAGAGGGAAAGAAACCATCTATGACCAAGTGCTTTTACTTGGTTGATTATGGTCCCTATCAAGACAAGTTAGGGATTAAACCATCTATATTCTAATTCCTAAGGGCTGATGTGGTTCCCTTCAAATGAAAATGAACAAAGGGATAAAAACTGTTTACAATCAAATATTCAATTTGACTAACTACAGTTCCTTTATTGTATACAAAATCTAGAGGATTGAGGCTGTCTACAGTCAATTTTATCTGATTGACTGCAACTTATTGTGAAGAAAGGAGTAAGAAGGAATTCTTCTTCAGTTGTATTTTTTTGTCTCATTCTTGTACACTTGAAGTATGTAAAAGAAATGCAAATGAAAAGTTCCTTTTAAGAAGTACTTTGTTATTCTTTTCTTTTGTTCTATGCATTCATTTCTCTAAGTCAGAATCAAAAGGTGTTCTTTACTTTCTTGTGGAAATGCAATTAAGGGGAACAATCCATATGATTCCCTGAATGGGCCTTACCCAAAATAATAAAAAATTCAATCACTTGATTGAGTGAATTATGCTGCATGAGAATTTCTTAAAATTTTCACACCAACAGTGTTATATCTATTAAACATTCTTGGAAGTATCTATTTGGATCCTTTGAAACTTGACAGTTGAATTTGGACTCTTGCGCCTTTGGGCTTCTTTTCACATGCCTCATTTTTTTAAGGCTCTAGCATTTCCTTTAGATCGTCTTAAATCTTTTCCTGTGAAAAGATTTGGGCAAAACCAATCCAACCTAAAATTGGAGCTTTCAGGTGGGAGGTCTACCATGGGAAAATTAACACCTATGACTTGCTAGAAAAAAAGAGGTCTCACACTTGCTTATCTCCCCATTGGTGTGTTTTTTGCAAGGCAAGTGGTGAATCTTGCTTTCACTTACTAATCTCCTTCTCTTTTGCTATTGGTATTTAGAATTGCTTTCTTGCTTTTTTTTTCTGGTTATGGGTGGACCCTCCTTCCAATATGTCAAACCTCTTTTCTCCCTCCTCTTTTGATTGATTGAAGAAGAGAGGTATGGTCATGTGGAGAAGTATATGAGCTGTAGTAACCTGGACACTTTGGGAAGAGAGGAATGCAAGGGTCTGCCTTGAAAAGGAAAAGAGTAAGGAAACCTTGATAGAATGATAATTGTTAGAGCTGTTCATTCGCTAAAGCCTCTAGAGTTGGGTTGGACACTGAGGGTACATAAAACTGAATTTTGATGGCAGTAACAGGTGGAATCCAGGCCCCTTCAGTCTAGGAGATTTGTTCAGTTCAGAAATGAGTTAGGTTAGGTGGTGGCAATTTTCTTTGGTCTGATATTGGGAGTTCTTTGAGGGCTGAAATAATGGTAGCTGTGGAAGGGGTCATTAAAGTAAAGGAGTTAGATGTGTACAAGCTGATTATAGAAGGGGATTCTCAACTGGTGGTTTATTGGCTGCAAAACAAAGAGAATGATTTATGGATGTACAAAAATGAGTTAAAGAAGATTAAATGGATAATTAGGGGTATGGATGCAAGAATTTAATGGGTTGAAAGATCAGCTAACAGCGTCTGGGAGAAATCAAATGTTTTGGGCTCAACTGTAATATTTGATTTGTTAAGCTGTTTTATCTCCAATTGACCCTGTACACTTTTTCTCTTCTTTAATGAATTAAAGTTTCAGTTATTGATAATAAAGAAAAAGCTTCTTGATCTCAGCTTAACAGTTTCTGTACTTCTTATATCTTATCCCTTGGATATCAATAAAATTACTCAATTTGTTACTGATAAAGGAAGAAAGGGAAAAAAGTGATATCTTTGGTGAATCAGGTTAGATTCATTGTAGGAAGACCAAAAATATGGGGTAGGAACACAATGCAGGTGTATGGCATTTTCTTTAAATTAAACTTTTGATCCAGTGAGCCTAGTAAACAAACTTAAGGATAAAGAGAATTATAATTATAAGGATATCAGTTATTCTTTGTCAAGATGCCCAAATTTTTTGGTAATAAACAATGTATCTTGTTCAATATTTTTTCTTTGTGGATGTGAAATCCCCTTATTTTTATATTTCATTGCTTCAAGAGTGTCTGTTATGCAATCCTTTTCAAGAGTGTCTGTTATGCGAAATCCCCTTATTCTTATATTTCATTGCTTCAAGAGTATCTGTTATATTTCATTGCTTCAAGCAAGTCAAGTGTTTTTCTTCTTTTATGGATTTATTTGTTTCTATTTGTTATGGTCTATCAATTCTATTTGCTCAAAGGTATCACCTAAATGATGCATATTCCTCTGACACAAGTACCTTTAGAAAACTCATTGGTTTTGATGGTATCATTGGTCTCTGTTTAAATGATTTACTTGTGGTAGAGTTTTCTCTCTTATTTCTTTTTTTTTTTTTTTACAACTTGGTATCAGAAAGAAGCATAGTTTTCAAGGTGCCAAGGTGAGGCTAGGCGACAAGGGAGCGCCTAGGCGTCACCTAAACAATGGGTTTTTTTAAGTGAAAAACATATATCCAAGGGTAGTTCTCTAGGTTCCATAATGATGTTTCCTTAATAATTATCCATAATTTTCATAAGAAAAGTATAAACATCATGTTAAAGTATAGAAAACCAACATATTCATGAGAAGAAAAGAAGAAAGAAAAGAAAATTCAAAAAATATAGGGGCTGAACCCCTATTTTTATTATAGAAAAAGAAGAAAAGGAAAGGTGGAAGAAGAAGAAGATAATAAAAATATATTAGTATATAAACACACAAAATGAATATTTTAGTTTAATAATGTCTATTTTATAATTATAATCTAAAAAAAAAATTAAGAATATAAAAGTATTTTATAGCACAATGTACAAAACTGCTTGGCAATTAGGCAAGGCGAGCCTCCGAGGGTGCCTTGTTGCCTAGGCATCCCTTAGGCATTGCCTTGACAACTATGGAAAGAAGAAAGAATTAACTATGTAAAATATTGTCAAATTGGACAATTTTTGATGTTGTTTGGTTTGTTATTATGGCCATCTTGTGGGTTTTGTTTATGATACAAGCAGAAAGGTATGTGCATTGCACGTGTTAAGAAAAGATAAGGATTCTGGTACTTTGCTTTATATGTTTTTTTTTTCTGATTTTGTCTTGTACATTGGGTATCCACTTTATTTGGTAATAGTATTGTGCAGATCTACATAGACTACCTTCATCCATTTATATAATCTGTCATATTATATTCATCTGAAAAATGGGTGCAAATTTCCTTCCAAGGATGGGGTCCTTCGCTATATAGAAACTGGAGAGTTTGTAATTGCATGCCTCTACCAATTGAAAGGCAAACTAAAATGTGCTCAAGAGACAAAGACATGGAAGTGAGTTCGAGTGTCTTTTATTTCTTTCACTTTATTTTTTTATTTATTTCTTTGTAACCTTTCTCTAATTTCTACCTATTGGAATGGGTCAATCACTAGCTTGTTGTGCAAATGGAGGATCCACCAGAATGGTTACCTGCTGGTTGGGTTGTGGAGATCAAAACCCGAATGAGTGGTTCAAGTGCTGGACAGAAATACAAGGTACAATGTCCTTGCTTATTAATTATTTATTATCTTTTAGTGTTCACACCTTCTGTTTCTGTTGTCTGTTTGAGAGGGTCATTTTATTTGTAACTACTGTTGTTGGATAATTGGATTTTGGATACAATATCAAATTTTTGGGCATGAATCTTTAATATCAAGGTGGTTACTGTTTGAGAGGGTCATTTTGTTTCCTACTACTGTTGTTGGATACTTGGATTTTGGATACAATATCAAATTGTTGGGCATGAATCTTTTATATCAAGGTGGTTACTGAAGCATGATTTTTTTTTTTTTTGTTTAGTAAAAACTGAAGCCTGATCCAGTTAAGCTTGAAAATAATTTCTATGGTTCTGTTTCACATGCATGTAAGCCTGTTAGGATGAGTATGCCATATATACAAGTAGCTTCTTACATGCACCTTGTCTTTATACCTTGATTGAATTGTCATATTGGTCCATGTTATTGCACTTTTATTTGTCATGTCTGTCACCTATTGGCATGATTGTTAAATATGAAGCTTGTTCATCAATTGCACATTTTCTTGCAACTGACTGTAATATCATATTGGTCCATGTTATTATGTTGTGTTTAAGTGTTAATCACCCCCAGAAGAATAAATTAAAATATTGACACTGTTTCTAAAATAGTTGCTTTTGGTGTTAGTTTCAAGTGTTATCACCTTATCCTTTGAAAAAATGTTACAAGTATGTGCATGTTTTGTGATTTCCTCACTTATGTTTTCCCAGTTTCCAACCAGAGAAACCTATATAAGAGCAGAACTTCTTGCTCTATGATGAGGCCTGACCTTTTCTTCAGGTTGGAATGAGCTGAAGGAGATTGGCACTGCAAGCAACTGTAGAAGGCACTTGGTTCCTTAGAAGTTTCACAAGAAAAAGATTAAGCTTTGTCATTGGGGCTAGACATGTTTAGATGGACTCCTAGATCAAAAGATAGCCTATTTGGAACCTTTGCAAGGGAGGGTGTAGTTAGGTCTTTTTTCGGTTTGGGAATCACTGAGCCCGGGTCTAACATGCAAGATTTCCATGTAAGTTCAAGGACTTTTTTTTGATGAATTAGGCTCATGGAATTGTTTTGTCAGCTTTTACTGTCCTATTTTTTCTCCTTAAAGAAAAATGTTTCCAATTATATGATTGTATTCATGAACTCAAAAAGCCAAAATATGGTCTTGTCATTTGCTTAGTAGTGAGAGATTTTTCCATATGGGGTGCTTGTTAGTCTATTTTCTCTTATTTTATCACCTACTGTGACTATCCCTGGCTCACTTTTAATTCTGTCCTTTCTAGTCTTGCCACCCATCCATCTTACAATCATCATCTCTGCTAAGCTCATTTCCTAACTGCAGGAGACATTTAAATTAAAAACAGTTTTAATTTGCCTACAATAATAATTGTGGTTGTAGTCAAGGCACTTGAAGAAATAAGAACTTTTAGGCTTATAAAAAAGGAACTTTTATGGTCGATTAGTATCGGAACAAGGAATTGGTAATATGAGTTCTCTAGCATATGGTCAAATTCTAGTTCTCGTTATATATTGGGATTAGATATATTGCCATTTTGGAGGGAATATCTTGAGCTTGCATAATTTTAGTAATTAGGGGACACTATTTATTTTACCATATCATTAAGATTGATTATCAATTTGGTTATATTAATGTGCAATTTAGAAGAATGTATTCCTTTGGTAATATACTCTCTTGCTAGTTTCTTAGTAATAGCATGGATATTTTGATGTTTCTTGATTTGTCTTCCATCATGTAATGAATTACATCATTGGTACTTGTCTCTTTTCTGCTTGTAGTGTTATGTTGCTCCATTAACAGGCTGCAAACTCTATTCCAAGACAGGTTTTCATTGAATTTCAGGAATCTCTTGAATTGTCTTCCATCATGTAATGAAATAAATCATTAGTATTGTGTCTTTTCTACTTGTTGCAGTGTTATATTGCTCCATCAACAGGCTGCAAACTCTATTCCAAGAAAGAGGTGCAACGTTATCTAAGCTGTTACATGCCTGAAGTGAAGAGGAAAGAATGCAAGAATATGCAGTCTGCATGCAATGTGTGTTTCCTAGAACATTATTTACTGTGTATTTTTTATGTTTGACATATCTAATTTTTCCGTCATTTGCATTCACTTAGTTAAATATGAAGCAGCTGATTTTTCAATGAATTACTAGGTTGTACTGAAGGATGTAACAGAGGAGTTGCCTCCAGGTTGGATTAAGGAGATAAGAGTTAGAAGGAAGACATGTAAAACAAAAAAATCTGACACGGTACCATCTTTACTTTCAGTTTCTGGTTTGATTTCAGTGTGTACATGCTTTCTTAGTTTCATGAACTTAAACATCTGATTTCTGTAATGCCTATGTACATGATGGTCTTATCTTGGTTGGAAGCATCATCAACCATTTCTCATTTATGCTTTATGTTTTATGGTTCCTTTTCCACTCAAAACTAGTAAAATCGGAATGCATTTTAATTCTCCTTAATTGGTACAGTATTACATTGATCCTGTAAATGGATATGAATTCCGCTCTAAAAAGGACGTTTTCCGCTATCTTGGAACTGGAGACCTTGAGAACTGTGCAATCAAACCAAAGAAAAGAGGCACCAATGACATGGATTCTATAGATGACAAATTCTCTGTAAGTGTATGCATTCTTGGGCCTCCAAGTATTATCTCTTCTCTCTCTCTCTCTCTCTCTCCATTTGCTCAACTACATTTTTTCTGTATTTCTTTATCATCCACATTATTGACAAGATAATTAATGTGCTAGGCTGCTAGAATGCTTGTCTGCCAAAAAGAATTAAAAAACAGAGTAGGGAATTGCAAAATCAAGCAGTCAAATAATTGTTATTTGGATGAATGCAATATAAATGAAAACAGATTCAAGAGTTTCAAGCAAATTATGCAGGACATTGCCATAGACTAGGACAGTGTTTATGTACTGTTGTTTTTACTAGTTTTGAATGTGGTTTAAGTGTTTTTACCTCCTAGTGGACACTTTACAGCCTCTGTTTTTTCATATGCATGAATTTACTTTCTTAATATTTGTAAAGACCAAGAAATACCTACATGACAGCCTTTCTTCCTGCATCCCTTGTCATGTATTGTTTTTTAAATATCAATTGGTCCATTCTCGTGTAAATGTCACAACAACTTGCTTATTTCACTTCTCCTGTATCCTTGTTTACCATAATTTTACACGCTGTACCTTGTGCAGAATTCACATATTATTCATTTGATTTATCCTTCCATCTTCTCTTTGTTACCATTGTATCTTGTGCATAATTATATGCTTTATTCAATTACTTTATCCTTCTGTCTTCGCTTTGTTAGCCACCTACTGCAGCCAAAAGGCAGAAACTAGAAGGCAATGCAACAAGAAGATGCCTTCTGATGGGACAGAACTCAAAGTCGAGTGCAACAGTAGATCAACATTTAATAGAATCCTCTGCCACAGAAGAATGTGTACCACTCCCTGAGAGCATCTTAAATCAGAGTAAAGTTCTAAGCTACACCTCGATAAAGTACTTAAGTATCTTCTTTTTTATTCCATTTGATTATCCTTCCCATTTTCAATTAAAAAATTCCCACACAGATAGGTTACATTGAAAGATACATCTCTTTTTTATTAAATTACCCAAGAAATCTCTTTGATTTGAACTTCCTATATGCTACAGATGAGGAAACTATGGACTCAAGTGGGTTACCCAAGCCAGAAGCTGAGGGATCAGAGAAAGAACATGGGAAGGTTTTCCATGCAGAAAATGGCTTTATTTCAGCTCCTGCAGCTGAGGTTTCTGTGGAAAAGCATTCCTTAGAGATAGGAATGCAAAAACATAGAGACAGGAAGACTCATGTTGGCTCAGGAAATTATAATGCTGGAAAAGATGTGCCTCGCAGGGCTTCAAGACGACTTGCTGGGCTCAAAGCAGAGCCAACATCAGATTTGGACACCAGCAATCGGGCACGTCGGGCTGCATCCAACCAGTCCGGTGAGCTTGAAACCAATCCGGTAGATGACTTCACCCCCACCCAGTCAGCTAAACTTGAAGGCAATCCAGTAGAGGATTTTACCCCTGCCTGTGAGGGTCATGGGGCATTGAAGCAGGTTGGTGTTCCCAAGGTCGATCCTGTATCAGAGTCCACATCTTGTGCTTCTATAGGTGTAGAACTTCCATCAGACAATAAACAAGCAAAGGAAGGTGAAACGCTCCTTGGGAACCAAGTTCTTATAGAGGATACTACTGGTAAACTTGAAAATGAAAAGCCAGGTGAGGAGAAACCAAAGTCCCCTCTTATTTTGCCATTTGGTGATACTTGGCCAGACCCGTGCCTCGAATTTGCATTCAAGACTCTTACAGGTGCAATTCCTGTGGAGGATACTCTGGCAATTGAGGATTACTTCCAACAGCTTAGTACAGCACAGAACCAGAGTAATGGAGACTTTACATTGCCAAATCGTGGACTCGATAGCTTCTGCCAAACTGATTTTATATTACAGTTTGGGAATCCAGAAAATCCTATATTGAAACAGCAGTCTCAGGTGAAATCTACATTCTCATCATTTGGAAATGATTGCTTGGCAAGTTCAGGTGAGAATGTCCTACAGCAACCTAGTGGGGGCAGAAACAAAGAATGCAGAAAGTGGTAAACCAGAAAAGAAAAATGTAGCTGTAGGAAATAGACTGTAAAAACATACACAGATTTCAAAAATCATTTTGGGATTTTCCTAATTCAGCCCCCTTTTCAGTGAAATATATCTAAATTTCATCATATTGTAGAGTCCCATTTCGTTTAGCAGAAATGAACCTTCAACTTGTATTTAAATTTTAGAGTCAACATATATGGTTAACATCTTTTACTATTCATCTCTGGTGCATTAATGATGGCATCAGAGGGCTGTGTCGGGCAATGGGCACAAAGGTACGGTCTGAGCCTTCTTGGGTAGGTCTGAGGTAGGACAAGGCAACACAATACTGCGCTTTGCGTTTCGAGGGTAGTGTTTCTATTCTGTTTCTTTTTAAAATATGGTCCTATATATATTGTAACAGGCAGAAAATGTAATTTAATATTATAAGTTCATTCAATTCCCGTTGGTATAATGGTATTAACTCATTCTGCATTTTTGTTTCTTATCACTAAATTTCACTAATTAAATTAATACCTAATAATTTTAACAATATAAAACTTTTATTTTTAAAATCGATCCATTAAAAACTTGTATTTTTGGATAAATTGCAGTTTAGTGCATTGTATTCACTTGAGGTCTTGAGCATCTGAATTTCAAAACGTGTCAAATAGTACCTAAACTCTTGAAAATTGTCACTTCAGGCCTTAATGTTAGCATTCGGTCAGTTATTTGATGTACGTGATGTCATATGCATTTGAAACATTTCAAAATCTTAAAATTACCCTTAACATTGTCATAAAACATCATTGCATTCCCTACCGTTTACCTAGTATCACTGCATCTTCTCTTCATTTCCATCTTCATTCATGTTTTCCCAATGAGTATTAATTGATAACTGGATTGGTTTTTATCTTATCATGCAAGGCAAACCCGTAACTCCGTAGAGCATGTGAATTTTAATGCCTGAATCATTACCCATTACCCTTATGGTTTAGTTAATTGACTAATCATCCTTACTGCTATCTTAAATTACCCCTTTTTGACAATTCAGGCGTGGATAGATTAAGGTTCGATGAATTATCTTCTTAATGTAACGCTTTCACCTTCTTCAAAACCCAATAGCCCAATTCTCCCTTCCAATTTGGATCTATCCCTATCCTCCGCAACACCATGTATGTGGGCTTTTTCTCCTCCACGGGTTTGCTAGCTAGTTCCCAATATGTTTTCGGATGGAGCTTTAAGATGATCCAATAAAGAAAAACATGGCCATGGTGATAGGCATGTCCTTTGTGGTGATGTTTAGGCAAAATTCAAGGTGGTGAAGAGGGGAATTGACAATAGTGGCATTCTACTTGCTTAAACGGCAATTTAGGAGAAACATAATAGAGCAACCATGTTAGACTGTTTCAAATTGTGTTCTGCTTCATCCTTTGTGACACTCAATCGACTGGGAGGTATCCCTCCCAAGTAATTGAACTAACAGTTTTTGTGTATTTGGTTCATAAAGAAAATTAGATAACATTTCAAGGGAATTTGTGTCTTTTCACATGTCACTTAATGCCGGTTGATAATTTTGGATTAAGGTGATAGTTTTTGGGAGTTTAGATATTTCTTGGGTACGTTTTGAAATTCGGGTACTAAAGTGAGACTAGCCCCAAAGTATAGAAAAACTTTGGCTGCTAGGGGCTAAAAGCCTAGGCTGTTGAAAGAGCAATTGCCCCCCATTTTCTTTTTACTAAAAAGCTAAACATGGGCATGAATGGGTTAAATTGCAAGTCCACGAACATTCTCAGCATCTTAGGCTTTTGGGCCCCAATAGCCAAAGTATAGGGTACCAATCTGCAACCCTGTTCGTTTGCATTGAGTTTTGATGTCTGAATGCCTTTGGAACTGTAATAATTACTTTAAGAGGTGTATTGGATTTTGGTGAACTTTTTTAAGTTTTGATGTCTGAAAATTTTGTTTAATTATATAACAAATTAATTAAATGAATATAAAATAATTAATAAAAGGGAAATTAATAAAAATTATGAATTATGTAATAAGTTCTTATATAATTATTAATTAACACAATTAATTAATGAATAAATTAAATAATTAAGATAGTTATATAATTCAATAATTAAAATAATGAATATAAATAAATGATTAAATTATAAACAAATTAAGTAATTAAGTAACATATATATAATTAATAAAATAATAATAATTTCTAAATATTATTTCATTAATAATTACATAATTAAGTAATTAGTATTAACTATTTAAATGTTAGTTTTTAAAAACTTCATTATCAATATATTATTATTATTATTATTATTTATTATTATTATTATTATTATTAACATTAAGTTTGAAAACAAAATGAAAACCAAATGTTCTTAAAACTTCTTAAAGTAATTAAGAGATAAGAGATAAGAGGTATTAAGAGGAAACGAACAAGCCCTTACTCTATATTTTTTAATGATAGAAATGAAATGTAGAATTTGAAATCGACCTATAAATGAAATGATGTCATAATTAAATAATAGATTTTTTAAAAGTAAAAAATACAAAGAATCATACAAATATAAAAAAATTTGGGCACATATTTGATGTTATATATTTATAAAAATATAAAAAATTGGTTGTCTCTAATATTGTATATTTATTATGTTAAACATAAATAAGTAATATACATAAAAGGTAATTACAAGAGAAATGAAATACAAAATTTAAAATCAATCTTGAAAAACAAAAATTTAAATAAAATAATAATATTTTTAAAATAAATAAAAATACAAAAATTATAAAAAACTGGGAATGTCTCTAATATCACATTCATTGTGATAAATAAAATTTGTTTTTATTAATGACAAAAGTGGGTAATTGATTCAAACATCCAAGCCAAAAGAGCCAACCCATGAAATTGTAATTAAATAATAAAAATTTTTAGAATATATAAAATATAAAATTTATAAAGCAACTTCGCTCCCTTCTAATATGCAAACAATAAAGGTCTAGTTATCGCTTTATTTCTAAATTTCTATTTCAACTTAAATTTAGAATCAAAATGTGCATGATGTGAAAGTTAACGACAGAGATTGGCGATGGAAGTCTAACCTTAATAGAGACTTAGAGAGAGAGAGAGAGAGAGAGAGAGAGTCATAAGCATTTAATTAACCATTTTAAATCCATGAAGAAGATTCTTTCCATCCACCATAGCTCTCTTCTTCCGCATAATACCCCTGCTCATAGTCATCCTGCAATTAGCAGAAAATTTTATTCAATTATCATACACTGGAATCCAATCAGATATAGGATCGGAATTTGAATGAGATCATGTCTACCAGATTTACATCAAATTCGAATTGAATTTGGATATTAAATAGTATTAATAAATTAAACTAAAAATGATCAAAATATCATATTATTAGTGAGTTGAACTAAAAATGACTTCGAAACTGCATTTCACGAACATGATAAATTCCAGGACACGGATGTGCATGTTAATAAATTGATATATATTGAAGAGATATACCTCAGGAGTGAATGTTAAGCCAACTTTGATCTCTCCACAGAACTGCTGGTCCTTGACCACACTGTATGGGGTCGGTGGGAAGCTTCCTTCCACAAAAAGTGGTTTCAAAGAAATGCTGCAAGGACGGGAAAAAGAAGGCAGGCATCCGGATGAGCATTAACTGAGTATGATTTATGATTTCAGTTAGATTCATTCCCTTTTTTCCACATTTATCTAGAAACGATAGATGCAGAATTACTTACGTTGATTCTCCTACAAAATCATCCTTAGTAAATCTATCTCTATCCATTATTTTGATGTGGAGTTCCGTAACGCCTTGGGAAACAGTGAACACGAAGATCTCGTTCCATTCTGGTTTAGTTCCTTGACCTGCATCACCCAATGTATTATCAGCGGTACATACGGAGTCGAAAATGAGTCATAAATGCTTTACAGTGGGGCTATTTGGAAGAAAAGCATGCTGCAAATGTACCATTGCAGCTGTAAGGCACATGAACATTAACCACTTAAATTGCTATTATGTCTACTGCTAGTCGTGGATATTTTATTATTTCAACAAACTAAAAATTTATATTATTTTAAAAAGCACGAATGACTCAAGAATATTTCTATAATTTTCTAAAGATAAAATTTATCCCTCTATATTTAAATTTATTGATAAAAAAGGAGGGTAAATAGGATAATCGGTTCTTGGTATTAAATGAGTTGAAAAGTGGTAACTTTAACATATTCAATGCATTCAATTCTCTCTCATTAAATCCAACATTTAAGTTATTAACTTGCACTCATGTTCATTGAATCCATACTTAATAAATTTTAAGTCATTTTTGTTTATTCTCATCATTAAGGTCTATTAATTAAATCCATACTTAATAAATTAATAATTCCAATAACATAAAAGCTTATACTTTTAAAATCTACCTAACAAAAATAGTATTTTCATCTAGGTGGTGGTAAGAAATTAAATCATTTTGGGTCAAATGGGTCAATCCATGTTGTCACAATTAAATAATAAAATTTAAAAATAGATAAAATGAAAAAATAGAAATTAAAAAATTGAGAACATTTTTAACATACATATTAAACAATAATAAGTATGATAAATAAGAATTGTTTTTATTAATGATGGAATTGAATGTAAAATTTAAAACCAGTTGGAAATAAAAATATTTTCCTATTCTCTCAATTAAATTCTATATTTAAGATATATTTTTCTCATCATTAAATTCTTATAATTAAATCCACAATATTAATTTTAATAATATAAAAATAATAGTTTGAAAATTAATTTGAAAACAAAACCATTTTCTTCCCTCCCAGTGGTGGGCAAGCAATTCAACCCATTTGGGATCAAATGAATTAGTAAATAATGCCATAATTAAATAATAAAAAGTTAAAATAAATAACTATGAAATGTAAGAAGTATTTTTATTAATATTGAAAATGGAATGCCAAATTTAAAATCTACCTAGAAATGAAATGATGTCATAGTCAAATAATAAAATTTTTAATAATAGAAAACAAAGAATCAGAAAAATAAAAAAAAAGATAGAGAAAAGTTTGGGCACATATCTAATGTTATATATTTATAAAAAATAAAACATTGGATACATCTCTAATATTATGCATTCATTATATTGAACAAAAATAACTTTTATACATAAGAAATAATTTTATCAATGATAAAAATGTAATACAAAATTTAATGTCAACCTAGAAATCAAACTATTTCTTTTTAGATGGTGAGTTAGTGGTGAGTCAAATGATACCATAGACAAACAAAAAATAAGTGTGATAAGTAAAAAATATTTTATATAATGTAAATGAAATATATAATTTAAAGGAAAAAATTATAACCAAAGAAAGTTGTACATTTAAAATTAGGTTCCAGGTTGGTCCGAAAACCAACAAAACTCTAACCAGTTCTACATTTCAAATTATAAAAACCCCTGCTATGTCATCGGAGGCTTATGTGACTATTGCAAACATGGGACTCTAAGTCCATATTGGACACAACAAAAAGCCTATACAAAAAATAGGTTTTCAATTTCTCTCCCACTCCCTCTATCTCTCGATCTCCCTCCCTTCTCTCTTACTCTTATAGTCATCTCTCGATCTCACACTCTCTCATCTTCAGTCTGTAGCCAAATCAAAACCTCTCCCTCTCTTTCTCTCTTTATCGTTCTCCCTCAATCTCTCCCATTCTTCTTCTTCATTCTCCCTCTTGGTCAATATCCCCATTTGCCCCAATCTCTATCGTTCTCTAGCTGGTGTAAATTTTGTAGCCAAGAGTTTCTTGTGAATTTTTTATCAAATTGGTGTAATGATTTTTTAACCATACCAAGTTGGTCTCATATTCTTTTATACGATTTGATTAATACCATATAAGTGTGTAAGAAAAAAAAAAAAAGAATGAAAGAGGGAGCGAGAGAGAAATTGAGGAAGAACGATAGAAATTAAGGGAGAAAGAGAGATCGACCGAGAATGAGAATGAAAGAGATTGAGGGAGAACAATAGGTAAAAAGAGAGAGAATGAGAGAAATTGATAAGCTTTTTGTTGTGTCCAACATGGATTAAGAGTCCCATGTTGGCAACAACCACGTAAGCCTCTGGTGACATGGTGGAGGTTTTTATAATTTGAAATGTAGAGCTGATTGTTAGAGTTTTATTGGTTTATGGACCAACTTGTAGCTTAATTTTAAATGTACAACCAACTCCGAGTATAATTTTCCCTAATTTAAAACTAATCCAAAAGCAAAGCTATTTTCTTATCTAGATGGTGGGTTAATGGTCCAACTTTTCAAAGAAACCCATGATGTCATAATTGAATAATAAATATTTAAAAAAAGATAGAACACCAAAAATAAAAATGTACAGAATTTTGTAAAAAACATTTGAGAACATTTTTTATGTTATATATTCATCATATTAAATAAAAATAATTGTTAAAATAATTTATTTTTATTTATGATAAAAATGCAATAATAATAATAATAATTGTTATTTTCTACAAGCATTTAAGTTTATCTTTAATCATATTGTTACTTTTGTTAAATTTCAATTTCTATTTTAACTATGATATATCTAAAATTTAAGTAATTAATATAAAGAAAATTTTCTCGCGTGCAATGCATGTGCTTAATTACTAGTTAATGAAAAAGGATATAAGTTTTTTGATAAATATCAGTTTTTAGTGGCATGTCTATTTATGTTCCTCCTGTTTTAGTTTTCTAATTTTTATTTTCAAAGAAAAAGACATAGTAGACTGCAGACCAACCGAGCTGCAGAAGTATTGCTTTCAATCTATCAAAAAGAAAAAAAAAAGGTATTGTTTTTCTTATTTTAATTGGCATTCTATTCTAATTTCTAGGTTCCTCTGTTCCACGAGAGCCTTTCATGCATCATAAAGGGGCATTGTTCATAATTTAGACACTAATCTGTTAGATGTACTATTGTTGGTTTTTGCTTGATCCGGCTTCGATATACAGACATGAACGGAAGGAGAAAAGTAAAACAACACCATCAATTGGCAACCGGAAAGGCAAGCAAGAGATGTACCTGACGCAACACTGCTCTTCTGTTGCTGAGTACAGCAAGTGAGGATAACATATGGGTCCATTTTACCTGTCATAAACATCTAAAGCTTATCAAACAAGACGTAGACAACTAAAAAGAGGGATTTCTTCATGTAATGACCAAGAATGTATAGATACATTGTCAAATAACGAATTCAGCTTCGTCGAAAGTGATGGAAACCAATCATAGAAGGCGAGGCAAAACTGTAATTTACAATCTGCAGAAATTCAGAATAAAAAATGACAAGATCAAAGAAGTGGGCATAAAAATCAACGATCATTCAGCGTTTTCGGTTTCCCCATCACTCATAAATCAGCTTGAAACAATTGCATGCAGTCCATTCAGCAGTGATTGTCAATTTTAAGAAAGCGAAACAAAAACAGATATACTGAAGAATGAACTCGAAACATCAAAGTATCAGTCGAAAACAAGCTGAATAATCAATGCAAACTCGAGAGATAATCTCGGTTAGCTTAATCATCTATAGTACATGTAGTGGAATATATATAAATATAATGAACCGAGCTAGCCAAGAAAGGAACATCTAATTTATACCAATTTCATTCATCTATATAGAGAAATTCAAACCTCTCACGCCATAATCTAGAATCTAGTCAATCAATATGATGTCTCGACAAATTGTAGAGAAAGTAAGTGGCACTAATGGCCATTCTGAAAGAAAACGAGAAATATGCTATCTAATTATTTCGAGTTACAGCTAAACCACAAGGATTTGATATACTTGAGTAAATTAACAACAAATAGTTGTAGGATATCAATATAATTTTGAAAAAGATATTTCAAGATTAATAAAATAGTAAGATCAATCGTGTAAATGATATTTGAACAACTCATAACTGGAATTCAGTGATTACATTGAGACGAAAATGTCATAAATAATCGACAAATCAAATCCTAATAGGATTACTAAACGTTCTGACGACAAAATAGCGTCTGCAAATGGAATATAAATCTGAGGAAGACCAAGCAGATGATCGTCAATTAATTACATAAAATCTCCATATAAATCCTAGGGCTAGAAGATAACATCATTTTTCTACATGAATCGAGGATCAAGATGAGAAATCAATCGAAAGCAAAGAGAGAGAGAGAGAAAGAGAAAGATCATCTGTGGAGAAAGTCGTTCGAAAGCTTACTAAGAAAATCAGTGTTCTTGAGACCTTTGGCACTAACGAGAAGAACTTCAAGTTTTCCTTGAGGCATCATCGAATGCAGAAGAAAGGAAACCGATCAGAAACAAAGATATATTTCGAATCGCGCAACTTTGCTCTTCCCTTTCACAATCAATTTGGAGCAAATGGAATTATGGAAACAACCATTTACACAAGTGTGAGGTATATTACTATATTTGTAGTAGGGAGTTCAGTACAAGCGGTTGTTAGATCGGCTCACAACTTCATCGGCTGGACGCGGCCCAAATCCGCTGGCTAGGGCCTAGGGCTATGGTTATGTTCTAGTTAACTCGTTTAATTGGAAAGTCAACTTGATAGTCGGTGTACGTTAGTGCCCAATGAAGATGATAGTCACATCACTTGATAAACGGTTGAGATTAACTTTCCTCTTACTCCTTTTGGACTAGTTACTTCAGGTGTGGGACCTGCAAAAGGTTGTCGAGATTGGGGAAGGCCGAAGGCTGGTCTTTCCTTTACTGGTGAAGTTTCCATCTACTCATGAGTCACGAATGCACCTGATATCTCGCCATCGGCATCGGGGTCGGTGTTAGTAGAGATTAAATTTGGTATATTGTGAACTATCATTACTTTAAAGTCCTTGTTCGTTTTTCAAAAGTGAACTTACCCTACTACCCTAAGTTCACTTTTGGAGGTAAATGTTTTATAGAAAATATTTAGTCGGATAAGTTTATTTATCCATTTTTTATTTTATAATGATACTAGCAGAGACCCGTGTGATGCATGAGATTTGTTAAAGAAAGCTTATCAATAAAACACATAAGAATATACAATAGTTTTATATTTTTAAATTTTTAAATAATTAATTATTTATATTTTATAATACTTTTAATAACTTTTTACAATACAAAAATAACAATAATTTATTTTAGCTAAGTTTGTTCATCGAATTGATAAAACCAACCAATCCGACCAATTCGACCTGAATTGCTCAGTTTCTAATATTTTCCGGTTGAAATTGGGATAAGTTTCGTTGTGGCCATTTGTAAATTGAACAAAATCGAATGACCCAATCATAGATATATATTAAAATTTTTTATATTTTAATACGGGAAAGTGGGGAAATTCCCATATTTCTTAGTCTCAAATATTTTATATTATAAATTTATTTTTTTAATAATATTAGTGTAATTTTAAAAAATTTAAATTAAGTTTCCAATGTAATCTTTTAAACCAATTGAGCAAACCGAAAATCAACCCAAACTAATACAACCCAATTTAGATGGTTTTTATTAATGGTCAGTAGATTTCGGGTAGCCAACTCCCCCACCTGACCATGTCGATTTGGTTGGCCAAATAGCCTACAACCGAATTAAACTAGGTCGTGATCAATACCCCTAGGCCCCGTTCGTTTACCGATAAGTTGAGGTGGGAAAGTTGACCAACTTTCCCATGTTTTTTTTGCAATAACGTGTGGGGCCCATGGAAATTAAAGTTTCCCCCAGGTAAGTTTAAAGTCCACTTATGCGGGAAAGGGTAAGTTTACTTTCCCATCGTGGGGTGTTTTAATTAGTCGAAAATACCCTTGTGTTGTTAACAAGCTTAGGGCATTCGCATTGCTAGCAAAGATCGGCGTCTCCTCCACCTCCAGGCCTCCACTCTCTCTTCCATTACTGGAACTTTCGAGCTCGACCTAGTAAGTCGCAAATCTCATAGCTTTTGTAAGAGCTAGTAGATTGTTCTTGTATTTGATTAGTTAGGTTTTCATTTTTTATTAAACTTTGTTCGATTAGTTAGGTTTTCGAGTCGCAAATCTTTATCTCATTCTTCTCTCTGATTTCTGAGAATGTGCATCTTCTTTTGTAATATGCTCGACTTCTTTGCCCTAATGCTTCGGTACTTATAATTGAACCCATTTAGCTCATTTTAGAATTTTAGTAAATGTGTTAAAACAATATGCAACTATTTGTTTTAATTCCCACTATAACTACAAATAAGGGATGGACCTCTAGTTTGTTTTTAATTCAAATCTTTCTATGATTAGTGGTATTAAAAAAACCTCTAAAAAGGATAATGTTGGCAATAGTGATTGGTTTGTGATTGATTGAGTTCCTTTCGATATGGCATGGACCTATTACATAGGTTTATAAACAAAACATCCACAAAAAATATTCATTTAGGCCAAAAGGGTAATTTTGGCAATGGTGTAACAAATTGGCCTCTTACCCAAAAAAGTTGGTGAAACAAAAGAACATGGGTAAATTGGAAAGTGAAATTTACCTGGGTAAGTTTCAACTAAAAGAACATGGGTAAATAAACTTTCCTAGGTAAATTTTACCCAGCAAACACTTACCTACCTAGGTAAGTGTGATACCGCTAAACGAAGGAGGCCCTAATTTCATCTAAATTAATATTTTAATCTCTAATAAATAAAAGTAGTTTAATCTCCAATAATTATTAAAACTTTATAGAAAAAATGCATAATAATTTAAAATATATTGATAATAAAAATAAAATAAATAATTAATAAAAATAAAATAATTACAAAAATACTAAAAAATATATTACGATAGTCAGTAAATATTGTAATCTCAAATAATAGTTTAATCTCTAATAAATATCAATGAATAAAGTACAACAAAAATACAAAACAAATATATTTATAGATAATTACTGAAAATATATTTATAAAAAAACTATAAATAATTGCTGAGAACACAATAAATATTAATTTTAGTATATTAAATATATAATAAATATAGATTAAGATTTTAAAATCATTATTAATGAATATTAATTTTTTGAATGTTATTTTCTAGAAATATTAATTGATATAAGTGAAATTGGTTATTTAAAAAATTATTTAGTTATTTAAATAATATCCTTATTTAAAGTTTATAACTAAAATTATTAATTGAATTTAATAATCCATAAAATTATAAATTATTCTATTATTATATAGTTTCATTATTAATTTCGTAAAATTTTAAATCGTTATTAATTTTAATATTATGCTATGATTTTTTTTATTTAATTTTCAATTTATTGTATAATTTCGTTATTTTAACTATTTAAAATATAGTTATGTTAAATATTTAAATAGTATATAAACTATTTAAAAATACTCATTATTTGAATTTAATATATTTATTTATTGAAATATTTAAATAATATTATACTTTTTTAATGTTAAATTTCTATTATTTGAATAACATTTAATTTAAATAATCAGAAAAAAACATAATTTATATTGTTAGTACATAATCTCGTAATGAATTTTGTAAAAATATAAAACTATTAATAATATGAATATTATTAAATCTACTATAATTTTTTGTGTTTTTAATAAATATTTTAAAGCTTATACTATTATTATATAATTTAATTATTAAATTTGTAAATTATTAAATTATTATTAATTTGAATATTATGTTATGATTTTTTATTTTAAGATTTTTTTTTTATTTTTTTGCATAATTTCGTTGTTTAAAATACTTAGATATTTAAATATTTAAATAATATATAAAATATTTAAAAATAGTCATTATTTGAATTTAAGATATTTAGTTATTGAAATATTTAAATAATTAAACATTTTTCTATGCAATTATTTAACAATTTTTATTCTTTTATTATTTAATATATTTAGTTATTGAAATGTTGAAATAATATTTTATTTTTTTTGAATGTTAAATTTCTATTATTTGAATAACATTTAAATTGAATAATCTGGAAAATCATAATTTATATTTTTAGTACATAATTTCTTGATGAATTTTGTAAAAATATAAAATTATTAATAATATGTATATTATTAAATATGTTATAATTTTTTTTTGTGTTTTTAATAATTATTTTAAAGTTTATACTATTATTACATAATTTCATTATTAATTTTCTAAAAGTATTAAATTATTATTAATTTGAATATTATGTTATGATTTTTTTATTTTATTGCATAATTTCTTATTTTAACTATATAAAATGTAGTTATGTTAAATATTTCGTTATTTAAAATATTTAGTTATTTAAATATTTAAGTAATATATAAAATATTTTAAAGTACTCATTATTTGAATTTAAGGTATTGAGTTATTGTAATATTTAAATATTTAAAGATTTTTCTATGTAATTATTTGAAAGTTTTGAGTGTTTTATTATTTAAGATATTTAGTTATTGAAATATTGAAATAATATTTTATTATTTTCGAATGTTAAATTTCTATTATTTGAATAACATTTAATTTGAAAAATCTGGAAAATCATAATTTATATTGTTAGTACATAATTTCATGATGAATTTTGTAAAAATATAAAACTATTAGTAATATGAATATTATTAAATCTATTATAATTATTTTTTATGTTTTTAATAATTATTTTAATGTTTATACTATTATTACATAATTTCATTATTGATTTTGTAAAAATATTAAATTATTATTAATTTTAATGTTATGTTATGATTTTGTTATTTTATTGCATAATTTCATTATTTTAGCTATTTAAAATATAATTATGTTAAATATTTCATTATTTAAAATATTTAGTTATTTAAATATTTAAATAATATATAAAATATTTAAAAATACTCATTATTTTAATTGAAGATATTTAGTTAATGAAATATTTAAATAATTCAATATTTTTCTATGTAATTATTTAGCTATTTTTAGTGTTTTATAAGATATTTAATTATTGAACTATTGAAATAATATATTATTTTTTAATTTTAAATTTCTATTATTTGAATAACATTTAATTTGGATAATCTGAAAATCATAGTTTATATTGTTAGTACGTAATTTCGTTATGAATTTTGTAGAAATATAAAACTATTAATAATATGAATATTATTAAATCTCTTATAATTATTTTTTTATATTTTTAATAAATATTTGAAAGTTATTACATAATTTGTTAAAATATTTAAAAAAATTTTAAAATTTTAATTTAAACTTTCTTTAGATAGATATAGATAAAAAGTGGCAAAGAGGATAAATAAGAATTAGAGATAATTTGGGGAGAAATTCTCAACTAAATTAGTGATAAGTTAGGAGATAAATAGGAATTGGAGATGGTTTAGGAGAAACTGGGAGAGGTAGTTTAGCATAAACTGGGAGAAAATGGAAGGAGAGCAT